TCCCTGCGTGTTCCCGGTATGGGCGGGCCCCGCCCCGTTCCCGGTATCGCCGGGGCCGCCGCCAGCTCCATGTCGCGCAGGGCCATGGGGCAGCCCCGGCGCATCACCGACTCCTTCCCGCGGCGGCGGCGGCGGCGGGGCCCGGGGCGACCCCCGGGCAGGCTCAAGGACAAGGAGAAGGAGAAGGCGCAAGGGAAGGCGAAGGTGCGGGACCGCCCTCCCGCCGCCCCGCAGCCCCCGCCGGACCCGGCGCTCCTGGAGATGCTGCGGCGCTTCGACCTCTGCTGGGAGTACGGACCCTGCACCGGTGAGCACCCCCCCGGTGTCCCCCCCGGCGTCCCCCCCGGTGTCCCCCCCGGTGTCCCCCCGGCCCCGCTGACCGCGCTGTCCCGCAGGGATCACCCGCCTGCAGCGCTGGGAGCGGGCGCAGGCGCTGGGGCTGAGCCCCCCCGGCCCCATCCGGGACGCGCTCCTGGAGCACCGCGACAACCCCCATGTCACCTACAGGTGGGTGCGGGACGGGCGGGGGGGCGCGGGGCACCCCTTCCGCCGGTGCCCCCCGCCCCGCCCCGGGGGCCGCTGACCCCCGTTTTGCCCCCACAGCCTCTGGCACGAGTACGAGCTCTGAGTCGCCGCGCCGAGGGAGGAGAGGGGGGGGCCGTGCCCGCCGCCCCCCGGCCCCCATCGCGGGGGTACTGGGTGCTGTCGGGCTGGGGTGAAGCCCCTCGGGGCGCTGGGGGAGGGCGGGGGGTTGCACCCCTTCCAGAATAGCCAGGCAGGGTGTCCAGGTGCCGGGACCCCCTTCTGCTTCCCCCCTCACTTCGGGGACGCCCCGACCCGCCAGGAGCCCCCCAGACCCCACAGAGGGTCCTGATCCACAGTGAGGGGCTCAGCCGTCCCCCATCCTAGGTAACCACCTTTGGCGGTGGGTGGAACAAGACTGGGACCCCGGGGGAAAAAAAAAAAAAAATCAGCTGTCAGGTTGGAGAAAGGGAGGCGGAAGCGTAGCAAAAAAAGTCCGAAAATGGGGAAAAAGTTAAGGATTAAGTAAGAATGAGCTCAGGGAGGGTATTATGAAACTAGGGGTGCAGGTGACTGTGGATTGTGCTGCTGTTGTCACACTGTCTGGCAGTAGGGAGGGAAGAGTGGACAATGTCCCGCGAGATTCATGTAATTAAGAGCCTTAAATAGCAGCTTTGATGTGTGCAGTCATAAAGTAATAACGGGGATGTTTGTTAATTATTTAGTTTATTGGTGACTTTATTCATCCGCTTTTTCTGTTGCTTAACCAATAAAATTGTTTGTTTCTATCCCAAGCCTGCAGTGGAGTGTCGGAGTCGGGAGTAACCCGGGATAGGGTGGAATGGGGTGGGATGGGTGGGGGGACGGGACGCCACGATGGGGGGTGCGCCCGGCCTGGGGAGCTGCGGCCTCCCCGCCTCGCTTCACTGTTCCGCTGCCGGGCCCCGGGACTGCCCTGGTCCCAATTCCGGCCCCAATTCCATCCCTAATTCCATCCCCGATCTCAGTCCGAACTCCAGCCCCGGGCCTAGGCCGCAGCGGTTGTCATGGCAACCCGGAAGTGGAGACCCCGCGCGCGGCGATCCGCGGCACAGCCCGGCACAGCTGAGCCCGCCCCCTTCACCGGCTGTGTCCAATCAGGAGCCACAGCGCCTCCGCCAATGGCGAGCCGGGCGGGTGTACTTAAAGGCCGGGCCGGAGACGGCGGCTGCGGGCGGTTGTGTGTGAGGGCTGAGGGTGCGGCCCAGCTGCTGCCCGGGCTGCGGAGGGGAGAGCGCCTTGGCCGCTGGGTTTATGGACCGGGGGAGCTGGGGGCGTTTAGGGGCGCGTTGTGCTGGTCGACGGGGGAGCAGGTAAGCCCGTTACCTGCCGGGTGCCCCCGGGGGGAGCCGTAGCAGGGCTGCGGGGCTGGTGCTCTCTGGGTGTCTCAGGTTTCGCTTTGGAATTCCAAAGCCTTTCCCCGTGCAGGGTTATGAAGCAAAGACTGCTTGAACTTGTTTTTTTTGGTGCTGTGTTAATGCTTTTCGCTCGCTGTGTGTCATTTTGCAGCCTTGCTCGTGGTTTCCCCTGGTGCGGAGGCGAGTTGTGCTTCCTGCTGGGAGAGAGAACGGCCTTGGGAAGCTGCTCCGTGACCCACGGCTGTGCCGAGCCCGGGAGTCTGTCCAGGTAAGAGCAGGGCTTGTACTGCTAGGGAGGAGCTGGGTTTGCTGTTGGCAGAGAGAATATGCCCGTGCCTTTAACTGCAAGGACAGGCAGAAGCTGGGAGGGACCCTGAGCAGCTTTGGTGGCACGACAGCAGTTTGAAAAGACCGTGGGTGTTGGAGAAGTGTCCAGGAAAACTGGTCCTGTTTTGCAGGGAGGCAGTTTGCAAGGACGGGGAGTTGCTGTGCTCTCTAGCAGATATACTCCCCTTGGGATGTCCAGGGTGAGGAAATGTTGGCCACGTGTGGGCTGGAGCAAAGGTGTGTGGGTGCCTGTGTGTGACACCCGTGGGTGTGCAGGAAGGGGGTTCTGGTGTCATTGGAGCTACCAGGGAGCCAAAAAGGGTGCAGTTGTCTGAAAAAGGTGAAAGCTCTGTTGGCCTCTGTTGACACCTGCACCAAAGGAGATGCAGATTTTCCCCTTCTTGGTTGCACAAAGCTCCCCAGGAAAGGAAGCTTTAGATTCTAACTCAGCTTTATGCTAAAGGTTTCCTTGCTCTCTCAGCAGGATGTCAAGTGCCACCCTGTCCCTGAGGTCACCCTTTCTGCTGTTGGGAGAGCACGAGGTGGATGGAGAGGATCCCCAG